GAAATGTAAAAAAAATGATAATAATACCAAATTCAAGTTTACCTTGCAATCACCAATTTGGACGAGTTTCCCGTTCACGATCTTGGAAACGCAGGATCCAGCTGTCCAAAAAAAGAGAGATTTCAAAGTACAAGTTGGATATAGCGCACCCGGGTCAAATATTATACACGTTATACGTTGTTAACTTGGTTGAGTGTAATATTATCTGTTTGAAATGATTCTTATTTTATCAATCAATCAATTTTATTTTCTTCACTCTGAAAGCTACAAAACAACAACAAACGGACATACAATATGCAGAGGACGGGCTTATTGAAAAAGTTGAAAACGTCCAGGTATGTGGCCGTCCACCAAAAAAACACAGTAAAATTATATTATTATTATATAGTCTATTATATAAATATTTTTATTTTAGAATTCTTGGTACCAGAAGACATAGATGGGTGTAGAGAAGGATTGATTAAAAATCAATATAACCTAATGTAATAAGTAATTGAATCCAAAATATATCTTACGCGGTAATTTTAGCTCCGCAAGCAAGCCACAGATGAGAGAGATAAAGTAAAGCATTTCGAAGAAGTTCATGTTTGCTTCTAGAAAGGTTGGTAGTGCAACTAATTGCTTAAATATGTACCAGGCTAAATATCAAAAAAATATCCCATATGTTTAACAACGCCATAAAAAGTCACATATTCTCTGAATTATGGCCTTTGATTGACTTTATTCATCGACGTTTAATAAGTACCGTATTTTACAGACTATGAGTCGCACCTTTCTTTTCTCAAAAACCGATCGTGCACCCTATAAGCCGGTGCACAACCCAATTTTGCCGGAGAGCATTTGGGTGCTTATAGAAATATGGTCCTAAGATGATTGGTGAGTAAGAGTTAATATCCTTTATGTATACATCTTATCGTGGACTAAGTCAAAAGACTGAGTCAACACAAAATCAATAATAAACTTTTGCGTCGTTTTCAAGCATGATATATGCTTGTCCGAGTTTTATGAACCCTGGTTGTGCGTCACTCCCTTTTTGGCATATTTCCAATTCTACAAGTTTTATATCTGTAAGTATTTGAAATCCAAGATATGCACATAGGTGTATGTTATTACTTGAAAGAAAGCTATTTGAGCAGGCGAGTAATCGTTTTAGCTCTTAAACAAGGTAATTCACAATAATAAAGAAACAATCAGATGGTTGACTGACTACACTTAAAACCAGTACTGTTATTGCTTTAGAAACTTTCGAATCTTATAACCCAGTGCGCCATATGAAAGAATAAAAAACCAATTTAAGCAATTAATTCACAACAAGTTTTGCTTTATAATACAATGCGCCTTAGATATGGTAATCGTAGTCTTTAAACAAAAAACATCCGAACGAACTGAGCGATCACCATTGCAAGACACAGTAGCTAGTATTCTGCGTGGATACAGATTTTTAAAATCTTTTCAATATTGCTGTTTGTGATGTTTTCCTGCCACTACGAGAACCAAAATTGATATTTTTATTTAATCCATTCACTACATTTTGTCATCGATACATAATCGACCATAGAGATGAGATAACGCACTTTTAGCACAGTCACTCTTGACTCAAAAATTTCGAATCTGCCGTATATGGTGGCAATTCCAATCCAACGAACGCGTTTCACCTCACTTCCTTTAACTATAAACTGATTCACAGCATAAAAAAATGCCGCTTTATACGGAAACAAATTTAATTCATCCATCATAGTTATACAGTTATACGCACTCCCTGACCTGACAATATTCGCTGCCATCGCAATAATGAGTTTTGGGAATTTTCCACACGAACCACTGCTTTTTTCTCTCCTATAACTAGCACGGAACGTTTTACGCCACGTCCTTTAGTCATAAACTATTACTAATATAGAAAAATCGAATTTCTTACTTGACATGGAAATTTAACTCACCCATTTATAATAGAGTAGTTGGAAGCAATTTTTTTCCCAGCTTTGTCCGACTTTAGCGCGCGAAAACGAAACAGTGAACGATATTGATAGCGTATTTTTGGAAATAGTCTTTGAACTTGTCGAAATTTGTCAGTTTTCGACCTGAAATATCGACGTTGCAACAAGGTAACTATAACAGTTAGGGCTCACCCGTGACCTGCCAATATTTGCGAATACGCAATGATACGTTTTGGAAATTTTCCATGCCACACGGATCACTGCTTTATTTCTTTTTACGCTCGATCTTATATCTAGCACATAAACTAGCAAATACACAATATTAACGCAGCAGCGATCTTGACTCGTGGATTGTGATTATGCAGAATATATTGCAACCCAATAAACGCGTTTTACGTCACTTCCCTAAGCCATAGTCTATTCCTGGTGCTCCCGAAGTATGCGAACCAAGATGGCGGACATCGGAACGTAACATGGGTAACAGGTTAGGGTTAGGCGATAATTTTTTTCCAATTTTCCTTATTTTAGTCCTATTATCAGTTTGAAGACTAGCCAAGAGCTTCCCGTAGTATTCATACCTAAAATTATGGCCTAACCCTAACCTAGTACACATGTTACATTCCGATGTCCGCCATCTTGGTTCGTATACTTCGGGAGCCCCCTATTCCTAGTATAGGAAAATCAAATTCAATTCATTCATTTATTATAGAGCTATTGGAAGCAATTTTGAAAAAAAAAGTTTGACCGAGTTTTGCGCGCAAAAACGAAACAGTGAGCAATATTGATAGCCCATTTTTAAAAATAACTTGTCGAAATTCGTCAGTTTTGTAACTCAATTTTTTCAGTTTCTGAAATATGGACGTTACGACAAGGTAACTATAAAAGTTTGGGCCCACCGCTGACCTGCCAATATTTGCGAATACGCAATGACACCTTTTCAAAAATTGTTCATGTCACACGGACAAACTACTATCATGTATTTTTGCGCTCTCTCTTATTTCCAGCACGCAAACTAGAAATTAAACAATATTAACACAGCAGTCGTCTTGACTAATAGATTGTGATTATGCAGTTTATTGCAGGCCAATGATCTCGTTTTACGTCACTTCTCCGAGCCATAAACTATTCCCAGTATAAAAAAAATAGAATTTCTCACTCGACACACAAATTTAATTCCCTATTTATAATAAAGCAGTTGGAAGCAGCAAATTTTTTTTTTTTCAGAAAAAAAATGTTTGTCCGACTTTGGCGCGCGAAAACACAACAGTTGGCAACTATTGATAGCGCATTTTTGGAAATAACTTTTGAACTGGCCAAAATTTGTCAGTTTTTGACCTGAAATATAGACTTTGCGGGAAGGTAACTTTAAAGGTAGGGCCCGACCCTACCCTGACCCTGATTCGCAATTATGCAATGATACATTTTGGAAATCTTCCATTCCACGCTATCCACTGCTTTCTCTATTTACGCTCTTTCCTATAACAAATACGAAATTAGCAAATACACAATATTACCGCAGCAATGTGATTATATAATATATAGCGGCCCAATGAACCCGTTTGACCTCACTTCCCTCAGTCATAAACTATTCCCGGTATAGAAAAATCGGATTTTCTACTCGGCCTACAAATTTATCTAGATCATTTATAATAGAGCGATCGAAATCCATTTAATGCGCGCCTAAATTTCTGATTGACTTTCTGAAGTCCCGTCCGCTGTTATTTCTAAAACATAGAATGATACAAATTGTCCATTTATTTAAAAATAATTTAAATTTGTTCATTAAAAAAATTGAAAAAACTCCATAAATACGCTTGACTTTACTGTGAAAACGAAACGAACGGGGACCAGTATTATTTTTTATAATATCCGCTCTGCCCCATCTATTACGTAAATTAGTAAAAAGATCTTCTAGCTCTGAATGTCGAATGCATAAATATTAATCGGCCAATTAGTATGCAAGCGGTTAGGAGAAAAGTCTATAAATAGGGGGCGCTAAAGAGTATATTGATACACCCGCTATATCTCAATGCAAAACTCTGGCCAAAAAGAACACAATTACTATATGTTTGCTATATATATTAACCGCAAAGCAAACGGCGTATACTGCATCATAGAATATTACGAAAACGCTCTGTCGGTCGAAAATTCTGAATGAATAATCTTTGTTAGTAGATTCAAAACAAAGCAGTATGCAAAATATGACTATGACTAAGCAGTTGCAATAACAGTATACATTTTATAAAATGAAGGCAACAATCATGGAACTTACAATTTCGATTATAGCGGCTTCTTAACCGGACTTAAAATTAAAAAAAAAAGTTTTTCTTTTCACTGCAATTACGATGCCTGTGTCAGAGTGTCTTGTCCTGATAGGAACTTTTCCTGTGGGTCGGTCGACATTGATGTCTTCTCCGCCCCCTTCCGATTATATTTCGTGAATATTGTATGTTTGTTTATTCTTACTGCAATATGTAATGAAATATTCAGAAATAAATCATTATCTCTCTATCTATCAGTTCCATCAGTTCAAATAGATTTATAACCTAAAACTCATTCATTCATTTATTCAGATTTTTTGTAAAGATGATCTATATTTAAGAGTAATGGCGAGGATGTACCCAGCGATCGCCGAATAATTAAAGAATCCTGATTCGGACCTCGGCCCGCCAGTTGAGTAGCCCTGATCTAGGGAAAAGTACTGAAATTGTTTTCGCTTCTTTTGCTTGGTAACTATTTAACTTGTTTTGAGTTTCAGTCAATTACCGAATTTTTTCAGTTAGGAACAAATACAAAAAAGCAATTCATTATAGAACAAGTAAATCAATTTACAATAACAAGCAAATTGTTCTTAGAGCTTGATCTCACAAACAACCCCGTAAAAATGTTCATTAGGCTTCACATTTCTCATGCCTTGTTTCCAGTGGGCTGGATTACGATTGACGTGAAGGAAAACGTTTGTGTAATCTCTGGTTAGAACTCCCATGTATGGCTTTTCGTTGATCCATTCAGTAAAGGAATTAGCAGGTGTGATCTCGCCCGTCTTAAAAAAGGGATTTATAAGTTTAGATCAGGGGTGAGCAAGGTTTTTAGGCCAGGGGCCAAAAATTTTGCCCACCCAGACTGGCGGGCCATGCGAGTTCTATTTTAGGAACAATATTTACAGTGTTGGAAAAACAAAAGTGGAAAACAATAAGCCTCGTGCCAAAACTAAATTTAATTGCAATCTCAACAAATTCATTGGGTCATGTTTAGCTAAAACATTAAAATTTATTTTGAATTTGGTTGTGGTAGCATCAGGCGGGCAAGATTGAGTTACCAGTCAAGGGCCGTAGTTCGCCCATGAAAGGTTTAGATTGTAAGAAATATGAGGGTGAAAATGCTTAGATGGCAAAAGTTAACGGATTTGCGGAAGAAAAATAAAGTAACGCTATACACAAGATTGCCCAAAAGTTATTCAAGAGTTATCAAAATGAAATAAAACTGTAAATAAAGAATACTGTAAACCAGGGGTCTCAAACTCGCGGCCCGCGGGCCAATTGCGGCCCGCGGGATGATAGTTTGTGGCCCCCGCCCCCGCCTTGATATTAAAGTTTAATGTTAGTGCGGCCCGCAAGTCACTTAGCTCAGTTAGCATGAATAATGCTTTTAATATAACAGCGTTTCCCAAACTGTGTTCCGCGGAACACTAATGTTCCACGAGCATCTCCCGAGTGTTGCGTGGAAAAGGAATCAAAATACATCTAAATTGGTCGCCATGGTGATCTGAGAATCATGAAGTTGTTGCCCAACTGACCGTTTAAAATTGCGTCACCGTCGGCCTAAAATGGACTAACTAAGTTGGGGTAGAGGCATTTTTGTTAACTGTCGGTTTAGCTTTATGACTGTTAACTTTTGACTTTGTTAAAGACAAACAAGTAAGTCAAAAGAATAAAGGCAAAAGGTCAACCGTTCTTCCTCCATCTCTACCTGGTTTTACTTTGAAATGCTGAAAGTTTTTCGCGCATTTGCAACTCGCCACGGCGAAACCATTGGGAACCGCTACATTGCACCGTTTTTTTTAACAATTCAACCCTTTCATATTTTGGTGTTTCGAGGAGATATAAAAAGTATAAGTGTTCCCTGGCCGAAAAAAGGGGAACTCTCACGTAGGGCAAAACAAAATATTTTATCATCTATCCCCTGAAAGGAATATGCGGTGCGGTAACCTACCAGTACCATATCTGTAGGCCTGATATTTGATCGCGGGACCGCCTGAAATAATTTAAAAACAATGTTCCATGATTTTTGACGTCACAATCACTAACGCTTAGATTTATCTTGATACATTGTAACCATGTTTCCCATGTGGCGAACATCACTGTCCATCGGCTAAATGTTTGATTGAAACATCAGCGCAACAGTTATTACAAGATGGAATTTTATAATTTCGCACATCCCTAAACGTGTCGTTGGAAGTGAAGTTTCAGTAAACAGAAAGATTGGTGATGAGCACAGACAATTTCAAAAAACTGGGAAATGCAATATTTCTTCGTTGAGCATAGAAGCATCCCGACATGTTTTATCTGCACAGTTAAAGTTGCAGTGCACAAGGAATACAATTTAAACGAGTTGCTAAGCTTTTATTGTGAAAAACCTGATGCGGCCCGGACTCATCCAGACTCTGCCCCAGCGGCCCACAAGTAAATTGAGTTTGAGACCCCTGCTGTAAACCCTAATTTAAGGCAGCCATTTATTCATTATGTAATATAAATAAATCTTCGTGTCCATTTATTTGGGCATTGCTCTTTTGTTATGCCTAATAATAGAAACAACACTTCCAAGTCTTACTTACAAATGGATTGAAGCCCAAACCGGTCCAAACGTCATTGTAAAATGTGCCTCTTGGCATTTTAAATCTCAAGTCATTCATGATCTCAGTGTAGGAATCATTATCTCGAATCACACCGATGTCTGCACCACGATCTTTACAGATTTCGACTGCTGTTTTGTAGTTGACTTGCGTTCTTGAATGTACCACCGTGAAATAGCATGCATGCTCAATTTTTGATATGCACTTATCTAGAAAAAAAAGAACATAGTTATAGACAATCGATCTTTAACCAAACGATAAATGTACAGTACTCCCGTAGTGGGTGTACCAGGTTAGGGTTGGGGCATAAATTTGTTCCGATTTTTCTTATTTTAGTTCTATTACGAGTTACGGGACTGAAATCTATGGGCAGAGGTATATTTAATTGACTGACACAGACAATCCCCGAACTTGTATTAGAACCAAAATAAAGAAAATCGGAATAAAATTATGGCCTAACCCTAACCTGGTACGCACACTAAGGCAGTACTCAAAATTGAAATTGTGAAGGGACTTCAGGGACACCCGTATACATAGCTATTGTTCTGCATGCTTCTTACAAATTGATTCTTACAAACTAACAATTTTAACACCAAACTTTTCCGTGAACAAACCGTGTAAAAATAGCATCTTCTTAATTCACCTCTCAAAATCCAACGAAGCGTTTTCTTCTGGTCCTCAAGCTGTTGTTTCAGCATCTTATTCGTTGCTTTCAATTCAGCAAATTTTTCAGAATAATTAGAATCTACAGAAGTCACACACCAAAAATAGTTTTAATGTTATCAACGAATTAGAAAATTAGCGACACCCAGAGCGTCGCTGGAAAGGCAAGAGAAGAGAATGCGACTATTGCTTAGCCTTCCAGTAATAAAGGCACCCGGCAAAAGGGTGAACGATTTAACGCATCGGCAAATGCAACGCAAAAAACATTATGTATTTTTACCCAAGTGAGCGCGATTTCAAACATAATCTGTCAGATTAGGATTTTACGTATGATGGGGAAAATATGAGTGTTGGCAAGGACTACACTAAGTGGGTTGGCGGGCTGGATTAGTAGTATTTAAATACCAGTACAGATGGTCAATCTCAAATGCATAACATATATATATACTACTTATTAATAGTTTTATCAATATTATCAAAATATCTATATACATTAGCGGTTATCAACCAGGGGCCACAGAGCAGTTGGAGGAGGCCACAAGCTAGGCGCCTTTTTTTTTCTTCAAAAGAAAATTCCCCATTTCTCCTAGTTTTATTGCCTGATAGGGACATTTTACAGGGTGCTTTCACTATGTTAAGCATAAATTGTTTGAACATAATGAGATTTAAATTCTACCAATCAAAATGAAACTATGAATACCACTAGAATGGTAAACAGGGGGCCATGCGTGTTGAAAGCTCCGGAAAGGAGCCACAAGCCATAAAAATATTGGGAACCTCTGATCTACATAAATTTGGAAACACACTCTCTAAAATGAAAGCTGGAAAGCGTACTGAAGCAGACTCCACTTCAAATTCCTTTATTTGTACCTACAGAATGTATTTGAAATTGCAAAACAATTCAATTTATTCACGTTTTTAAATGAATTCACTTAGTTCTTACCTACCCTTTTCGTATTCTTTTCGTATTCGGGGCAATTGATTGGTATTTTCATCAATTATATCAGTAGTTTTCGACGATTGTTCTGCAGTTTTCCTTTTTAGATTCTTCATTTTGGTAGTGTGGTCGATAAGGGTATGCAGTATGTAGTTTATCGCCTGAGACTGATGTGCAGTTAACTTCTGGATATCTTCGATCTTACCCGATAGTTCCTCGAATTTGTTGCTCAGATCCACGTATCCTAATAAAAGAAAAAATTTGATGACGATTTTTCAAATTGTTTCTCTAAATCAGGGGTTCCTAATCAGGGCTTCACAAATTCTCAATAGGGGCGAGAACTGTTCCTAGTAGAGGCAAAGTTTAGTTAAAAATACAAAGTCGATGAAAGTTTTCACATCTGTTACAATAATTTTCACGGCCCCTCAGGTCCCCACCCCCTGGCTACGTCTATGATAAGGAGTCTTTAATCAACTCTGCCCGTAGGTTTCAGTCCATTTATACAAGTAGGCGAACAAATTCAGTTACCTTCATATAGTTACGTACACTTGTGCAGCGGCAAACTTTTCACTCAAATACTCACCCGAATTTTCACTTTCATATTCTTTTGTCTTGTTTTCATTGACAGTACTTTCCAACGCTTTCAATTTTGATCTGATATGACTGATATCTGAATAATAACACTTTCAGAAAACTTCACTTACTCAAAAAAAATTCCCCTCATGTGAAAAAAAAATTTAAATTGTCAACCACCAGCGCTAGGGTACTGAATCGAATCATTTTCGGTATTTAGTAATTCTAGTTTTTTTTTTAGAATAGTTGCATGTTGGCACACTGCAGCTCAATTCTCAACCTTTTTTGGAAAGTGGAACTACAATGAAACATCCCGGAAGTTCGAAAAACCCCGATGATATTGTCTGGATCAGACAAGGACAAAGTATGGCCCGCGTGTCAAATCCAGCCCGTTGGGTAATTCAATTTGGCCCGCCTGATGCTGCCACAACGAAACTGAAATCAAATTTTGATGTTTTAGCTTTTAATTGCTTAAGGAATTTGTTGAGATTGCGGTTAAATTTAGTCTTGGCACGAGGCCTATTGTTTTCCGTCTTTGCTTTGTGAACACTGTAAATATTATTCATAAAATGTAGCTTTCCACGTCACACTTACATGGCCCGCTAGTCTAGATGTGCGAAATGTTTGGCCCCTAAAACCCTTGCCCACCCCTGGTCTGGATGCATAAACAATGAATATATACTATATAAGGGCGAAAGTGTTACTGACAATCTAAAATAATCTTTGAAGTGTAACAAATTTAATAAAATGGGCAAACCTACTAGCTATTTAAATATATTTAAACCAGTGGTCGGCAACCACCGGGCCGCGGCCCATCGCCGGTCCGCGGAAAGGTTACTGCCGGTCCGCATAGAGGTGACACAAAAACGGACAAGGCCGTAATAAAACCTCTACAATCTAACCACAAACCCTACGAATAAAAAACAGCATCCAACAGTAAACCAGACAAACACAACACCAGGGGTCGGAAAAAATGCGGCCCGCGAGCTAATTTGTTGCGGCCCTTGAACGACCCGACATTTAATTAATAAATAAAACAAAAATTAATCCCAAATTTATTATTGTCTCTACACGGATTTATGTGGTGATAAGTGCTGCTGTACGGCGCTTCTTATGTAACAAGTAGCGTCAGTTGTATGTCGTTCGAGTTAATTTTGATTTTCAAAATTTGAAAATGTCTGGAAAACGGAGCGACGCGGGTCGAGCATTCCATAAGTGCTTGAACGGAAAAATATTTTTCTTTCTTGCACATTCCAAAACTGGTTTGCTCGATATGCCCGGTCAGCATCGCAGTTGTCAAGGGTTTCAATGTTAAACTCTTTACGAAACGAGTCGACAAAAATTCGACCTCGAGACCCGGGACTGCGCCACAGCTCATCTGTGCGACAGTGCAAAACGTGTAATGTGCACGTTCGGAAGAACATATGGCCTTGAGCAGCTTTATCTAAAATGCATTACACTTGGATTAAATTTCGTACTCGCTTGTCAGATCATCATTTGGACGACGAGTTGCCACAAAACATCATCTTTCACATTGATAATAAGTACATAAGAACAATGTATTGTTGGATAATAAAAAAACGCCACATATACATCCCATTGGGACAGGCTTTCAACACAGCAATAGAAGGGTAGCAATGCGAATGCGCCTTAATTTGAAGTTTAAATATGATAGCGATTGTTCGAAGGCAAAAATATTGTGGCCCGCGCGCTACCAGAAATGTTTATATTTGGCCCGCAAGTACATGAAGTTTGCCGACCACTGCATAACACTATTGAGCAACATGTCTGATTTCATAAACAATTGCCATGTCAGTATTGTTTTCTCTACGCCCGTATAAGAATGTCTCTCATCAGTCCGAATAAGATATCCCCAACAAAACGATACAGGCATTGTTAACTTTCCCGAAATCTTATTGTGAGGCCTGGTTTTCAATATTGATAACTACAAAAACGAAATATCGAAATAGGCTGGAAGTAAGAAACACGTGTGTCAATGTCGACCATATCTCGAATATGGGAACAGTTAAAGCCTAAAGGCCATCAAACAAATACAGACATCACATTAAATAGCATCACCGTCGTTTTTGGTATATTGGCAACATAAATTTCCTAATGCGTATAATTTATTGCATAGGCTTAGTTCGTTTGTATAAAGGTGGGCCGCCAAATGTTTGGTCAAGCTTTACCGGTCCGTCACTTGAAAAAGGTTGCCGACCACTGATTTAAACGATATACATATCGATATATTCAGGGCACGGTTTTTGGACCAGGGGCCAAGCATTTGATACTCCCGAAATATGTGAACCACGATGGCGGACACCGGAACGTAGTATGCTGTGTACCACTACCAGGTTAAGGTTAGGCCATTTAAGGTTGCCACCTGGACTAGCGCTAGTGGGCTATGTAAGTTTGACGTGAAAATTACATTTTATGAACAATATTTTCAGTGTTACAAAAGTGGAAAACAATAAGCCCCGTGCAAAAACTAGATTTAGTGGCATTCTAAACCAATTCTTCGAGCTATTTTTTAGCTAAAACATCGAAATTAGGTTTTGGTTTGGTTGTGTCAGCACCAGACGGCCCAGACTAAATTATCCAACACACACTACGGAAGCACCAATAAAAATACTGTAATAACGCACCTAACACATTTCTGGAAACAGCAGAAAGCAAGCCGTAAGGATTCTGAAATTTAGCAATACTCGTTGTTTTGCAGGTAATCGGGAATTCTTTTGCATGAAGGTGTTTTTCAATGTTGAAGCCTAAGCCGCCCCATCCGCTGGGTATTGGATCACATTGTGAAATCTGGCACCCTGGTTTGGGTGAGCAGTGAAGCACTGCTTCATCTTCACAAAAGCATGATGTGAGGCTGTAGCTTAGAACCAGTTAAGGTAAAATTTTCATTCCGTAGCTATGAGTATTTAAATATAACTGGAAAATAGAAAAAGAACGCCCCGTTTAATATAATTTAGAGCAGCGGTACTTAACGTTCCACCCTCTCCGCATTTCTGAAAAATCACAACCGACTATTTCACCTTCATTATGGGATTACTGCAAAATATTTTCGGTTTCACACGTTAATAGCAAGTCCATTGTAGTATATTTAATTTTTAGTACTCCCGCAGTATGTGAACCAAGATGATGGACGCCGGAACGTAGTATGTGTACCAGGTTAGAGTTATGACATAATTTTATTCCAATTTCCCTTATTTCATTTCTATTACGAGTTCGCGGAATAGCCAAGTGACTTCCGTAGTCTTTGTACCTGAAACTATGTCTTAACCCTAACCTGGTACACATACTACGTTCCGGTGTCCGCCATCTTGGTTCACATACTACGGGAGACCCCTTTTGTGCAAAGCGTGGTAGATTTATGAAACTTCTGGGTGTAACCAGACACAAACATAAGTTAAAACTTCAACAGAGTTGATTTGTTTTCTCATTATTCTTCGAAGTGATTAGGAAATATATGGGTTTCGTGTATTGGGTTCACCCTGTTAGCTAGAACGATAAATGTGATGCATAGGCGTAACCATGGGGGTTTCTTCCCAACTAAAAAAAAACTGTTTTAAAAAATCTATTTGCGTAATTTGCAATGAGACTGACTTGCTCGCGTTTATCAACATTATCTTATCCGTGATCGATTCACTGATTCACTGAACTCGAAGAATTTATTTTAGCTTCCTATCAATCCTGCCCAGGAAAACTAAAATTACCCCTTTGTATAGCTGGCATAACTTCAACAGCGAAATAAGGGTACTCCTTAAGTATGCTCAACAAGATATCGCACAACCTGAACCCTGACCTGAAACACAACCTGTGTTCAGGTTGTGCGCCATCTTGGTGCGCATACTTCAGGAGGTCCGAAATAAGTCTGTGTAGAAGCTTCAGATAGATAGAAGATACCGGGTACTCTCGTAGTATGTGTACCAGGTAAGGGTTAAGCCATAATTTTATTCCGATTTTCCTTATTTTAGTTCTATTACGATAGCGGGGACTGTCTGTTTTAGCCAAGTGAATATACCCCCTGCCCACAGGCTTCCGTCCGTTTACACAACTTGATATAAAGTAGGCGAACAAAATTAATTACCTCCATATTAGTACATCTACTTCTGGAGCGCTCGGTATTGTTAGATATATGTGGCTGCTTGTATCTGGCCTTCTTCAGGGCGATGGTCGAAAGTCGTATGTTTTGCTATGAGGGCCTACGGCAAAATTTATGAATAAATGCTAATGCTACTGCTAAAATTAATACTCTTAGAAGTATTCCCAGCCATCTAATTCGTGCAAAAGTACAACTTCGTACAAAGTACAAGCTTCGTTCTCACGAAAAACGATAGGTAAAAACCCTTTCCAACCTCCTATCACAGGGGTTCTCAAACCAGGGGTCGCGACCCTAAATTGGGTCGGATTGATAAGTAGGTAGGGTCGCAAACAGGTCATGGGGTCGGTGGGGTATAGTGGAGGATAGATATAAAGATCGCACTGGACACTTGTGACAACAAGTCGTCGTTGTGGTCGCCCTGAAAAAAGCTTGGGAACCCCTGTCCTATCACATGGCGCAATAAAAATGATAGCTTGTCGAAACTAAAAAATCACAGTATTTTGAAACTTTATATCTGGTTAATTGTCTAGAACAGTGGTTCTCAGACTTTTTAATCGCGCCGCCTTTTTAAAATTTGTCATGTTTCGCGCCCGTCCTCACAAACAACTAGCTAACAGTAAGCTGCAAATATTAGACAGTAAGGCGAACAATTTGTTGTTATTTTTATCAGTGCACTTGTTTTTGGCTGATAAAGTAACAAGTGTAAATATATAAAATAAAGCGGGAAGGATCAAATCTAAAAAAATATTTTTAATTTTATTAATGATCTCCACCCCCCTCAAACAATTGCATTATGGGGCACGCTCCGTCGTTTGAAAACCGCTGGTCTAAAATGAATTATGACTTTCGGTCCAACATGTATTACCTATTCTAACAAACTATAAGAATTAAAAATTTTGCTTGACTGTAACTACAGGCTATCCAGATAATTTACTCGAGTACCTCGCACTACCATGTAAAAGGTTATCGACTAAAAACATGTTTTTATAACCTAAGGCTATTCACACCGCATTTTTATCAACATATCCTATTCTAATTAAAATTGAATAAACTTTATCGGCATTTCAGAAAAATTAAAGCGAGTATTTAAAAATTGTGGACCAAGAGCCGAAATTTTTGTCATTTGTCCAACTAGACTGCTGGGCGTAAAAATTTACAATAAGAACACTATTTACAGTGTTATAAAATCAAAAGTGGAAAACAATAAGCCTCGTGCCAAAACTAAATTTAACCGCAATCTCAACAAATTCATTGAGCTATATTTTAGCTAAAACAGCAAAATTTGGTTTCAGTTTGGTTGTGGCAGCATCAGAAGGCCAGGTTGAATTACTAAACGGGCCCGATTTGGTCCGCGGGCTGTAGTTTGGCCATATCATATTTAAAGGATGGATGCATGTTTGAGTGCTCCCGAAGTATATGTACCAAAATGGCGCACAACCTGAACATAGTATGTGTTCCAGGTTGGGTTCAGGTTGTGCGTCATCTCGGTAAACATACTTCCGGAGCGCCCATTTTTGTATCAATACATGAAAATGCGTAAATATTTATTCATTGTGTGATTAGAACCTGATGAAAGAGGCATGTTTTTAGAATTAAGCAATGAAAAACAACCGAATACCACGAAGTCGAAGGGGACCACAGAGCAGTTTACGGGGTGCCACATACTAAGCGCAAAACCAATTTTACTTTCACCAATAAGACAACCTACCATTCTTCCTAGTTTCATTGCTTGATAAGGTTATTTCACAGGGTGTTTTCACTTTGTTGAGGATGACTCGTTTGAACATAATGGGATTTGTGGTTATCAATCAAAATCACACTATAATTGCCACAGGAATGATAAACATAAATATTTACGCGCTAAAAGAGGCCACAAGCAATAGAAGGTTAAGAAACACATGTTACGGCGTGATAATTTTATATAGGCTTCAGCTACTACAAGTTTGCCGCTAACAAATAGGACAAATGATCATTTGACGGTTATCCTGTTCATTCCAGGCAAAGACATGTAGACAAATATTTCGTGAGTGCCTCTTCAACCACGGTCTTCATATAATTAGGCGGCAATGGGTCCACTATTTCGATTTGGAGTGATAACTGACAAGAGGCGTCCAATCGCCACGTAATGGCGCCGTAGCCGCATTATCGGGTTCTCTCTCTCTTACTCTCGTGGATAAATATGAATAGGCCTACTGTACCTCTTGATTTTAGTTTACTGTGCTTTACCTGAACGGCCAATAAAAAACGATTTGATTGATTGATTTAAACGAGTTTACGACGTATTTATACGCCTTTTGACTCGCAACAAGGCTCAACACAAGCAACGACTGATAGGTAAAGAGCTACTTCATTTTGAAAGGACCGGAATTTTTCCGCTTCAGTATTTTCTGCCCAATTTATTACAACCCCGGTAAGGTCGTGGGCATAGGATACATTTTAACCTGCGTCACACAACGTAAAAAATATTGTTGCGTCCACGTCGTCGATTGCTGAATTGCTATTGTATTCTTACGGTGGTTTACGAAACCGCAGGGTCGGTTACGGCATCCCCGACCATTCACCTATAAAACGAGTGACCGCTAAATAAATGAGAGGTCCTGGGCCAACTATTCTAATCGCCAAATGATTTAGCCACGGCCGCATTATCGGATTTTCTCTCTCACTCTCTCTCTTTCACACACACACAGATAACTATGAATACCTATTGCCATGAAACAAAATATTGGACTGTCTTAGCATTAAATGAAAGAATAAGTAGCTAATACTGGACAGAATTTTTCATATTTAGCTTAGATGAAAGACGACCCCATTACAGCGCGACAAGTAACGAAATAGGCTGGTACGTAATTGTCATATCCAAACCTGCGAATCCCCGCATTGTAATCAAAGTGCGATGGCAAACGGATGTCCAACGATTAGCGCGGTACACCAACTTTTAAACCAACGTCTTTCAGTTGCAATCTCCCCCTCCCCGTGTCGAAACATACAGTATACTCATTTCGCCCGATCCGGTTTTACATGTTGGACTCCGTAAAGCACCTCCGTTTTACGTTCGTGATACTCAGATTTTTGTGTAACGTTGACCTTGTCCCGGCGTTTGTCACGTAGTTATAATGGACTTGATGGAAGGTACAGGAACCGACATAGTTCAAAGCAATTGCAGTGTTGTACTAGAACATTAGGGCAGAGCTACGGTACCATTTCAGGTTGTCGTTTTCGGTAATTAAAACATAAGCTGTATCACATTTTCACCAATGCCAAATCAATGTAGCCTAGTTTTCATGTTTTTTTGGCCCTGCTTGCCACCTTGTCACATTACACCTACACACGTTGTCTTTGTATCAGATCGAATTAGGCCTTATTAGCTTGAGTATTTCAAAAGTAGACTATACAACAGCCCGAAGTTTATTACATTCGCGTATTTTTGTGTGTGTTTATTTTTGGGGTCTGGTATAGTTTAGTACCAAAAGTACCGTACCGGTACTTCTAGTTGACCTGGCTCAACAATTTTTGCATATGTCAATCCCAACCCCCCCCCCCCCCCCCCCCCCCCCCTTCCCTGACTACGTCACTGAAAAATTATGTCATTTCGACGTCACAGTGGCGTAATAAGGCCCACCGAAGTATGCGGATGGTCGTCCAAAACGCGCAGACGATCACCCGAAATCGAGCAAGCTATTTTTCTCGTTTTCCCATCATAACGATCACGATAGGAGAGAGATCGCCGGCGTTAGTGAGTTCGTAATCAGCGGCGCAGATGCTGAGATGCCATTTCGAGCGATCGGAATTATACTTTGGCAAGCCCTA